CATTTAAAATTTTATTAACACCTTCCAGGATTATGAGACCTGATTTTATTATAAAAACTTCTTCCATTTTTTTGCACTTAAAGTTTCATCCTCTTGGGTAGATACCATTGGTTTTCTACTAGTTGTAACACTATTTCAAGTCTGTTGTAAAGTTCAATCCAAGATTTCAAATTCGATGAAAATGAACATACTTTTCGTATTTTGAATAAACCAAAATATGATCGTTTGCAAAGAAGGTAGACAACAAACTGAAATAGAAACTCATTATGATGTTCACATGGGGCAAGATGGTGGAAATGGATTTCCAGAAATCGGTGAACATCTGTAAAGGGAATCGTTAAAGGATATATCGGTATAAAAGGTAGGTTTAAAGTCTACAAATATGATAGATTTACTTGTTTTATTCATTGAATATAAACCTACGATTGTAATCTTGAATTGCATCTTCAATGTTGCATTTTAGATTTTATTTATAAATATTCATTTATATGTATATATATATATATATATATATATATATATATATATATATATATATATATATATATATATATATATATATATACATATATATTAATTGCAAAATATGCAATTATATGCATTTATCCTCAAATATGCAAAATAAAATGTGGCTAGTTGCATCACAGTATACTAGTTTGTATAGATATCTGATCAGCAGTTAAAAAAATGATGCAAAAAATGCATAAAATACAATTGCATAAAAAACCTGGGCTGAGCGAATTAACTAAGTTAAGTTCTGTTTTAAAAAAATATAACATATAAGATCTTAGAAGTTAATGAAGAATGATGAAAAATAATTTTTGAAAACTAATATTATTTGAGAAATATATTATTGAGAAACCAAATGAAATTCCCAAAACTAAATGGAAACTTTTACAAATTAAAGTATATAATGTATCAAATTGCCATTCTGGAATTGTTTAAAAACTATTTTACCATACATTTGTGATAGAAGTGCATGCTGTTGAAAATATTTCAAGCAGTGTTTACAGGCTGCTAACTCTTATGGTAATAACCAATAATAACTTTAGTTTAATAACATTAGCAACGATAATAGATTTAAATAATTAAACATTGACTAACTATATTTGAGAAAAAAAATATTATTGGTAAATGAATGTTGGATGACTCAAGCCACTCCAGATGGTTTTCTCTCTGATTTTATTATTATGTAACGGATTGCATCCATCACTTATAATGCTAATTATAAACAGATGGTCTATGGATCTACAAATCTTTCCAGCATTCTCTAAGTTACTCCCAAGCTGCAGGATGAGGTTAACAGGTTGGTAGAAAATAACAATATACAACTTACCTAATTGTAAACCAAGGCCATCTTCATTGTTTCTGCATCCCTCATTAATTCCTTATGAGGTATAGAATTAATGAGGGGTTTCCTCACTTAAATAATCTTCAGATTTATCTATGCATTCCTATTAAAAACCTGAGGGAGAGATTTGGTTCAAACATTTTGGAGTAATCATCTTTTCCAGATCACCTGAAAACATATCCCTACCTTCAACCACTTATTGCCTTTTAATAGCCATTAATATTGATAGTGGCTATTAAGATAGCCACTTTATTTTATGCTACTTAAATTATAGTTGTCTAGTGTATGATATCCTATCATTAGATTAATTTTTGTGGTAATCAGAGTAATTTCACATCTCTTGGTATCATTCTAAGGTAAGGTTTTATCATATTTTGATACAGTAATATATTTTACTTGATGAATTGCCTGCTCCAATTCCTATTAATCAAAACACTTTCCTATATTTTTCACCTTTTCAACGTATATTATTCTATTGACTATTTGAATAGAAGATTCCTACATACTACTTTGAATATCTCTTATCACAGAACTGCTTAATTTGGGAAACCTTACATTATTTGTACTGCCTTCTTTGAAACTATGTTCTCCAGTATTAATTTAATCTTAACTCATTTCTTTACCTCTTTCACTATAAATTTACTTCATCAATGTAAACAATATTATTAATAAGTCATAATCAATTAGTCATACTTATTAAAGCTTGGTCCACAATAGATATTTCGTTTTCATTTTTTTTTTGTTTTTTGTTTATAAAGATAAAGAAAGAAAGCTATACAATTTTATTATGTTCAGAGGTAAATAGGTCTCCAAATAAAAGTTATTTTCCATTTTACTTCATATTAAGATAAAAAATTTTTAACGGTTTACTACATTGATTTTAGTACCTTTTGTTTTGTATTAAACATATTTAATTAAAACATTACAGAGAAAGATGAAATATTATGGATTAATGGCATTATTGATGATAGTTCTTCTTTCATTCTGCGCACACATGATTGAATCAGCTCCAATTAAAAAGGCAGAGACCCGATATGATGCCAAACGGGCCTACTATACTCCAGTTGTAAGTTTTGTAAATGAATTAGGATTTCAAGCAAAACATTAGAAATAATTTAGTCATTTAGTAGCCCTTAAATATATTTTTCAAATGGTTAAATGCATGTTGTATATTTACATTAATTAGTATATTTTTAATTATTTTAATGATTTTTTTTTACATTTAGGTCGCTTTAAGACAAAAACGATCTCAACTGGAATGAAGAATATGTCTTGGGCTTCGGATTTAAGAAAAATACATAATCTTGATTCAATTTCTGCTAAGAATTTTAAAACACAAAAAATTATAATTTTTAAGAATAAATCAATAACTATGAATTAGAAATCTTGAATTGCAGTTAATGTATGAAATTACTAAGATTTTCTGGGTTCTATAATAAAACTATAAAAATTTACTAGTACAATAAGACCAAAAATTAATAATGCTTAGTACACAAGATCATCAAGAACACAACTAAAAATTCAGTATGCATAGTTAGGATAAGGTGAGAATTAAACAATAATCTAGAGGCCATGATGGTGGAGCGAGCTAAGGTACTCGAAAAAATACACTCTACATATAGAGTGACTTTTTATCAAATTCGAATATATTCCTGGTATTATATATAAAAAAAATTACAATAAAAATAAATAAATATAAATTAAATTTAAAAAAAGAATATACTGGCCTAGTAATCAGATCACTATTACTAATAATGAAGAGAAGAATAGTTGGGGTGCTCAGTCAAAAAAGGAAGGCAAAAAATAAATTATAATATTTATTTTTTACATATGCCGACGTTTCGACCTGAAGTTCAGGCCATCATCAGGGCTTTCTCCTTTAGTGTCAAGGGGAGAAACATTCTCCCCTTGACACTAAAGGAGAATGGATGATGATGGCCTGAACTTCAGGTCGAAACGTCGGCATATGTAAAAAATAAATATTATAATTTATTTTTTGCCTTCCTTTTTTGACTGAGCACCCCAACTATTCTTCTCTTCATTATCCACGACAGTCAACCAATTACCAATTATGACACTATTACTAATAGTATATAAATAAATTGTTTATTTTAATTTTAAGGTTAGATTATTATGTTAACTAATTATATTTTATTTTTCTCATAATGCCAGACTGATGTTACCTTTTTGTTATTTATAATTATTCTTAGGGGACTAAATGTCCCAGAAAAAATTTACTTTTCTTTTTTTCTAATATATACTCCACTATCACTAGGTTGAATTCCTGCTTGGGAATGGTAACATACTCACCCACAGATTCAAAAGGAGATGAGCGGCACATTTTACCATCTTACTATACCAATGATGACTAATCCCAGACAACTTATTATTTCAAATGAGCATCCATTTAACTGAATTCAGATATCTTAAAATATTAAATCATGTATTAGATTAAAAATTTGAGAGGGCTTTAGAAAAATATTAAATTGTAGGAGTAAGAAGTAACAGTAAAATTTGATTAATCCATATTTTTATTTATTTCTTAAGATGTTATTATAGGAATTGAAAGAGGCTATAATGTGCTGACATTTTTTTTACTGGCTGTCCTGTAAAATTTTGGATTGTTTTTAAAAATAAAAACATAACTTCAACATTGTGAAATAAAACAATTTCAATTTTGAAAAATCCTTTAAAAGTATTAAATAAAAATCAATGGTAGTCATAAAAACAGGAGAAAACAAAAATAATTATTATATATTTTTACACATAACAATAAAGTTTAAAAAGAGACTATAAACAAATTGATAAACATTGTGCTAAGATAATCTGCAGACAGATTTAATTTTTTTTAGTTTCCAAAAACAGTCACTGGATAGTAGTAAAATATAGTACCCCAGTTGACCAACAGGTTGGGCTTCTAAAATGTTTTTTGATTGGAAATACACCTTAAGCAGTAATTTTAACTTACTTAGGTGTTGTTGTTATTTGTCAGTTGCTACTAATGAACTAATGAAGAAATATTAAAAATGAACGCACTTGTAAAAAACAAAAATTTTAGAAAACATTCCTTCATTATATTTTAATGAACAGTTAAAATTTCGCCAATAACACATCTTTATATTATCATTTAACATTTCATTCTAACACTTATTTTTTATTTTGAAAAAAAGGAAAACTTATAGCAATTTTTCCTGTCCTCACCCTCTATACAGAGCAACATAATTCTAAAAATAATAATGTTAAAAAAAAATGACAAAATTTATTTATTTATAATTTATTTTATATTATTTTTATGATTTATTATATTGGGGTTCCACCAACCCCCATTTTACAAATTATGTCACTGTTCATGAATTTTACTACTTGTTGCTCAAATTGTGTAACTGTAATTTACATGTATTCTGTAGTTCAGATTGTATTACTCTTATTGCCAATTTATAACCATAATAATAGAGAAATAATTCTAGAAATAAGAGGTGTTTTGTCTTCATTACAGTCCGTCTAGCTTTGTATATGTAAAATAAAATATAACACGGTCACTAAAATCTTTTATATAATAGAGAGATATTTTTTATTTATAATATATTTATTTCTAGACAGAGGAATAATAATACTAGCTTGGCAGGATGATTTCAACTACCTTAAATTTTGTATATTTGTCTATACCATACACATTATGAAAGTCGGCTGGTTCCTAAACTCAGCACTAAATGACCAAGTGTATCATCTGGTAATAAAAAAAATAATTTAAAAAAATGAAAATATTGGCTATATCTATATGCATAAAATTATCAATAGATATTTTAAAAATATATTGATATTTTGCCCAGGCTCAACAATGGAACCCTAACACTGCAACAGCGGTAGGCAAGGGCTTGATGAAGAAAAATATGACTGATTTTCTTTCTCCTGGACTGTCTAAAAACCCAGGGATCAGCTTTTCTATTTTTGATGATCCTCCCAGTGTAGAACAGTGTACCAGTGAGAACAGTGACCATCAATAGTCGTTTCGACTTTTTGTATATCTTGCTTATTAGTATATTTGTTAACAGTATGTTGTACCTTCATCTTTGTTGATTTCCGTTTGCATGCTCCTGATCTGATTAAGTTCTGAACAATTTATGAGCTAATATAGAGTATATGTTACAAAACCTTTTAGGCCTCATGGTAAGGTGTATTTTAATGGTATAAGGTTATTAGACCTATGCCCAATCCCCAACCAGGAGGGCCTGGTGCGATGATGTAAGTCATAGGGGTTACTTACTTCCCTGCTCTTTTCAGGATGAGGACAATACCAACCACATGTGTGAATCAAACTCGCACCATAATGGTCTGACTACTCGGGTAGTACCAGAAATTTTTTATTAATTATTAATTTTTAATGTTAAAGAAATTTATTGCGGCTGGGAACTGAACTCATACTTTTGGGTTGTCTTGATAAAAATCGAAATAAAGAAACTTGTATCATGCAAAAAATTGTTTTAAAGTTTTGATACAAATTTTGACTCGACTATAATTTTCAACATAGCTTAATTCACTTTAAACAGGCTTATATGCTTCCGTCTAACGATATGACCATAATGACAACCGATTTGGTTGATCTTGTCTATTTCAGTTATGGAGGCAAGGATTTTACAAAATTATAAAACATTTTTTTCATTTTTTAAAATCAGATATTCTATGCCAGTGTCAATCTTAATTATTGCTTGGATGTTTTAAGTTAATTTACTTCTTTTTACCTAATATTATTTTTTTCAGAGGGTTATTTATACTTAAAAAGTTCAGACTAGATTGTTTAATATTTCTACGTTGAATCAGGATTGCAATTAGAGAGGAGTAAAGAGGGAATTAGATAGCCCTGGACAGGGATACAAATTATTTTTACCTTAAGTATAAAACATATTTTTGTCTACATTTTAGGTTTTTTGACCTCAGTTCCATCAATGAAAGGAGTTAATGTTGTCTGATGATGATATTTATTTCTAAATACATTAGTTATAATACTGATATAAAATATTGACTGATACTATGGAGGGATTCTCTCATATTTGTTAGTTCTTTGCCTTTTCAAAACAGCTTATTATTTCATGTTTTACAAAAGATATTCGACATCTTTAAAAAAAAAATTGTATGCTTAATAAACAAAAACTTATTTCTTCTATACAAAATTCATACCGTACTTAAAGGAAAAATATATAAATCAATTCAGTGAGAGAAAATTCTCAGTTAAAGGGCTGTGATTCGAAAGTAGGGGAACCATCCCCAATTTCTTGTTGGTCAGTGTTGGAAGGGAGCAGATGCAAACCATGGCAGGAACTATTATTTTAGACTCCTTGGGATTCCCCCATAAACACATGTATTAATCTTTACCTATGCTTATTGGGTTCTATGTTGTACTCTTGACATTTGGTATTTATTACACTATTTCCATCTAGCTCTCTTTTGTTTTGGTTTTTAAATAATATCAGTGTGATGCTATGCAACCCAGTATGCTGTGTGATTAAGCGACCCAACACAGTTGAGCAGCCCTGCAATATTATTGTAGTTTCATTTTTCCATATACATTTTCTTTGTTTTGGAATATTTCTTTACTGGTTCTTGATTTCTGTTGTCCTATTGTTAGTTTGATGACGATGTTAGTAGGATTAAGTTGAACAGTCATTAGATTATGTGTAGTGTTCTTAATGCTGGACTGCAAGGTGACCTGGAAGCAGGTTGGTGAATAGGTTAGCGGCTGTCGTTAACCTATACAGGGGAGCTGACGGGTGAAGAATAACTTAAAATAGCCTATACTTGATTTAGCATTAGGTTTGGCGCCCTACGCCCCACCGCCGCGGACTATTTTTATAGTGGAGTGTGGCCGATGGAGCCGGACGGCCAAGTGCTCCTCGGGGGCGGAGCGGGCGCGTCGTGGAAGCTCAAAGACGCTCTCAAGCACCTCGCGCTTTGCCTCACGCTTAGCTTGTACACTGGCATCGGAGGAATCGTGAGTACATAATTCATCTTTAATCAGAAACTAAACTTTATCTTATAAATTCTTCAACTGGTTTAGATAAAGGAATTATGGTATACCATCTGACTTAAGAAGTGAAAATTTAATAAATATTTAAAAAAAAAAACTATTAACTTTAGCAGTTAATGGTTAATAGTCGAATTACTTTAGAATTCATTATTATTGAATATAATCATCAACTTCACATAAAATTGGGCGTTATATATTGTATACCAAAATACATTCCTACAATGGTTGTTTACTAAGAATTTTAATTATTCTTACAATGACAACACATCTTCTGAGAATCATGTGAAAGATGCGGATAAATATTTAAAGAGAGAAAAAACAATACCAAATAAAAATATAAAATTTTAAAAAACACAACTAAATGGTCTAAAATATGTTTATAATAGATACTTAAAAAAATTGAAATGCCCAGAAATTGACACAGGTCATTTGGGAAGATTAAAATAAATTACCGAAATATAGTTTTCTCCTCACTATTTGCCCAATTAATACCAATGTTTGACGATAAAAAAGTTTGTTGATAAGTTATAGTAAAACATATTTGTCGATCTGTAATAAAAAGTCAATACAAAACAATCTAAAAAAAACCTATTAATTATCTTGAAAAGTAGACCACTTTGGCTTTATCTTTAACCACAGCCAGGAGTCTGATACATCGAATGCATACTTATACAAATAAAGAACTGGTGTTTAAACAAAAATTAACATGGTACAAGAAATAAAAAAAAAAAAATTGAAAATCAAATTGTTTATTTTAAATTAATTTAAAATAAAATTTTGAATTATCAATATTCAGCTATAATTATTTCTAATCCTTTTTTTTTCGAGAAATGCATAAGACCTAAAACTAAAGATTATTTATTCTCTTTTTGTACCTTCAGGTAGCTAACAAGTGTCTTGGTAATTGTAAGTTCTTTAATCTTTGATATGTCAATTGAAACGTTAGACATATTTATTTTGAGGTCCCACATAGTCTTCGTATCCAAAAACGTGATCCCTTTCATTGCTGTCAAGCGTGATTTTTATTGACCTCGTACTCTTCAATCCCACTAGGAGTTAGTTTAGATTTTTAAATATAACAAATAATTTAGTTAACAAATATAGTTTAATAATAAAATTTAATTCTTATTTTTTCGGAAAAAGAATTAAGATTACTATTCGTTGTATTACGACAACCTCACATTGCATAGGCGGTAAAGAGGAATAGGATTATGATGACGTATTACGACAATGTACAAGCCTAAACCCGATATCAACGATTTCTTATTTTATCAATTTATATGTGGATGAATTTTTTTTATATATAAACGTGAAATACTGGGGAAAAAAGTTTTTTAAGGCTTCTTTTGGCAGAAATTCATTCCCCGAACCTTTAAATCAAAATCATTTTAGCACAATTCATTTGTGTCTTTAAAAAAATATTAAAACTTGTTATTACAAAAAATTATTGTTTTAAAAAAAATAAATTGAAATTAATGTCGATTAGAGTAGTTTGAGAAAGCCATACGCTATGTGATCTAAATTTAAAAAAAATAACAAAATAAAATGGTAAGCCTACATTTAATTTTATTACGAGTAAAAATAATGTTCGTAATCCTGAATGCACCCACTTCAAAAAGTTAAGTGTTGGAAGAAACTTGATAGAATAAATTGGAAGAAACTACGTGATGGAACTTGGTAAGAATATGTCTTATTGAATGATTAGAAATGCTTATGCATATTAGCTCTCACTCCTCCATTCTAGGTATGGTAGAGGCGGAATAGTTCGAATTTATCTAAACGTGTTGTTTCCAAAGAAACCCGTATACTATTCACTAAATTGTGTTACATGGTGTACAAGCCTTTGAGAGGGATGTATATTACTTTTTGGAATATCATACTATATTTCATTTATGTAGGAATCAATAGAAAACTATGTTGTATTTATATTTATTTAGTAGATTAAAACGCTTTAAATATAAGTGTTACCACCTATTTAATCTTCCTTCAGAAAATTATCTAGTTAGCTATTTCAGCTAATTACTGCTTACTCTTTTTCAAGATGTCAAAGCGTGATTTTCGTTTTATTTCCGTTTACGGTTTTAACATGTTTCGGAACATATGCCAAAGATTGGACGAAATTAATTAACTTTAAGACAGAGACGTCTACATTTGTTGAACATTAGCGAACTCTTGTTGAGGCAAATCCAAGAACAACTTTCTGAAATCTGCAGTTGGCAAATCAACCGAAACACCTAGCGGCAATCAGCAAGATGAAAAAGGTTGAAAAATAGTTCGCACATGAATTGAGTGGCAGCCAAAAAAATGAAAGGAGCTAGGATAAAAGTCTGCTTTCGCTCTTCTGCCATTAGTCTGTTGAAAATTTATCTTACTGAAAAGGCAACTAATTTTTTTTAAAATGAGTATAATTCATTTAAAGTCAGTTAAAATTAATATACAACGTCATTTTACAATTTTTATTTCAACATCAATTATATTATTTGTGGTATCGTGATTTGCAGATATTTTGAACTTCAAAATAGATATGAACAAAGTGTGAAAAACTATGAAGAAGAAACAATCAACTTGAATTTCAAATTTTTTTATTTTTTATAAAATTCAAATGTAAATAAAACTCTACGAAAAGATACAATACATAAATTTATTAAAGATATAAAAAAAAACAAGGAAATAAAAGAATAATCTATAGCATGACAAACTAAATTCAGCACTTCAAGTCATGAACAAATATATAAAATAAATAGAAAATTTATAAAACAAGATCGTGATATTAAAATTTAACAGCACGCAAACAAGGCATATGAGTTAAAAATAAAAATAAAAGAGAAGACATGACCATAAAAATGATATCACAATAATTATCTTTAAAAATACATATTTATAAATATGGAAAATGTCTTAGGTACATGAACAGATGAGGAATACCAAACAGAAAATGTAGCGCAGTTGGATCCTATACATTACCTCATGAATTTCGGATGTAGTTTTGTTTATATCCAATGTTTTGAGACGGGGTTGCTGAACCGATTAAGACGTAGATAAAACGAACATACACATTGCTCGGCAGCTTGACGAACTGAAGATTCGAGTCTCGATGTCGCACAGTGGGTATAATAGAAAACCGGCTAAAAAAAAAAAAAAAAATGTATGGCTCTATAAACTAGATTAACTTTAATTGATACCTTAGGCAGTTTTTGAGAATATTTTTAGTTGGCAGAATGTAAATTTTATACTGTTTTAATATATAGTTCAATTGAAAACGTAGTCAATTTGTGAAATTTCACGTGATTTGTAGGTTTTGTAAAATTCCTTGTTTTGAGCTGATGGCTGATAATTTTTCCACGAAACTTTATACACCTTTTACTGCCATTCTGTTGAATTAAAAAAAAACATAATCATTTCTAAAAGTTGTTTTATTTAGAATATTTTTTATTTTTTATTAACAAAAATAGGTGTTTTTAAATCAAATTTTTATAAATACTGCGATTTAAAAAAAACCTCCGATAACCTCCGATATCTTCCGGAAAATTGATTTCTTACAACTTTATAGCAGTCCTTGTTAATGATAAATTCGTATTAATTTAAACCACAATGGTCCTCCTGAAGATAGTTAAAATATATTTAAAATTATTTTTATATGAATAATTATCCGAACGATTTCTAGGTTTGCACTAATATCTCGTATAAATAGACATGCTTTCAAATTTAGATTTAAGCATTGCATTGAACATAAAGATAATAAGGTTATTTGTTTCGAAACATTGTCAAAATTGTTTTATGATAACAACTACTTTAACTATAAAGTGATTTTACACTGTTGGTCTAAATTGCGCCCATATTGTAGCAATCTGCAAATATAGCATTTATTAAAAACATGACTGGTACCTACAGTAAATATTTTTTAGGGAGGAACAAAGTTGATATTCATTCCTCAGGCCTCAAAAACTAAATACCAATAAATGTTCCTGATCTTAATATTTATTTTTTCATGAAAATGATTAAAGCAGTCAGAAGGTTTTTTTAAACATTCATTTTAGAAATCGAAACATTTATTTCGTCACTTATAAATAGGGATTAATTACTGTAATAGAGATCTTCGTAAAATAAATACATTTTTATTATCACTTTCGATGATGTATAATCGAAAATCATTATTTTAAACATTTTATGTTAGAAATAAATAGTGTTTTTATGCGTTTATAGTTACACATTTATAGTTATTATACATCCTAGGTTATACAAAAAATTAATTAAAGATTTGCAGCACTTTGTAGTAATTTGTGCTGAAGACACGGGTACATTTAGGGAACAGAACATAAAATCTTAAATTTTTCCCAAATAAACATCAACTTAATTTATGTGAACTTAAATCTTATTAAATGAGGTAGTTTTTCTAAAAGTGGGGTAACTGTAGCATAGTTGGATGATGATAAAAAAAAAGCCGTAAATAATTTATGATTTTTAAAAACTCAAAACTTAGCTTAGTTTAACTACTCAAAAGTCCTCTTCAAATGGTTTTAGCAATGAAATACTTTATTTCCATTTGAAGTAAATTTTGTCTAGTTTACTGTGGAGTAATCGGTAATTATTTAAATTAAATATTTATTTAGTTGGCTCTTCCTATTCAATAACAAACAGAAAAAACAGAAAACTTAAATTTCCTAATTTCCTTTTGAAAAATTGGCTACGGTTTCTATGAACTTTTTTGTAGTCCTTGATGTCTACTATCACCTCCCAAAGAAAAAAAATATAACATAAATTTGGTATGAAAATATATTAATTTTTTTCTCATCCCCTGAAGACAATTGTAACAAACGTCGAGCAGGTGTCTAGTATTTTTCGATGTAATGCCACTGAAAAAAATGAGTTAGTGACGCTAACCAGGTTAAAATATATGACTTGCTAGTTAAAAAGATGAACAGTGAATATTTTACAATTTGGGATCAAATGAATTATTCTTAAATGCCAACGACACTCTCAACATAAGTAATAAACATCAAGTAGCAATTGAGAGTGACATAGCTCTACAGAATAATGAAATAGAATAAATATATGTTCTGTTAAATAATAACAAGGCTCAAAACGAAAATTGATTAGACGATTCGTATTTGATGTGATTTGAGATCTAATTTGAGGTTCGTCAACGTTCTCTAGAAGTGTGTACAGGCCTAATGTGATTCGTAAATTATATGTTTTTCAATCTTTTGTTACTTAGTTCTAATATTATTTATCTTATCTAGGTAATGAATATGCAGTTAATACATAATATCTAAAAGATTTTTTAAGCCAAAAAAAATTTTTTTTTTGATAGTTGGTATTTATTAATAGATCATTTATTTTTGGATTTACATCTTTCATATAGATTTTCATAAATTCAACAATTGAAAAATGTACCAAATCTGTCAATCAAAACGAGCTACTTGAGCGTGTGGTCTGCAATTGTTTCAGATTATTAAGTGTTTAGTGTCGTGTTTCATTGTACTTGAAACTATAAAAACTGATTTTGTTTTGTAGGTAGGTATAGTTTTAAGATTTAATGCATTATTTAATTTGAAATTGTAATTAATAAAGATCTTGTTTTGTAGAAGCAAAAGTTTATCTACAGTTAACACTAAACAATATTATAAATCAGTTTTTATAGTTTTTAAGTACAATGAAACACGACATTAAACACTTAATAATCTGAAACAATTGCAAACCGCACCACACGGTTATCCCAATCCAACATCATATGTTGAATGCATGAATTAAATAATTAACCCAAAAGTGGGGAGGATTCGTTAGAACCTGAAGCTTCTTTACATATGTACCTCCATATTCGATGTAATTCCTAAGTCTGAACAAATGATAATTGCCTACAATTAGCCCTACTGCCCAGCTACGTTACCGTCCATAATTATTGGAGATTTTCGTTTTTGTTTTTTCCAAAGAAAAAAAAAATTAATAAAATATAAATAATTTCAAGAATGATTAAATATTCTTTAATAATGCTTTCTTTGTATCT